TTTTTTAGTTTTGTTCTGCTTATTAATAATTCAATTTTTTCTAGTTTCATGTATAAATTAATACTCTGTTTTTTTCCTTCAGATGACTTGCAGTTTACCTTTTTAATTTTCCTTTCTTTATGTTTTTGATGAAAAATATTTCTTAAACTACAGTTTTTATTTTTGTGCAAGTACTTTTATTTCTATCATATATGAACATCTTTCTGAACGTACTAACTTGCAGTGATATATTTTCATAAAAATACCACTTAACTATAGGAATTGTTTCTTAGTTTAGATCTTGCCAAGTTGTGCCAAAGTAATTAATGGTGACTTCAAAAGCGGTGTTACAGAGATGCTCAGAACGCCCAATCAGCACTTAGGGGAAAAGCTTATAATATCTTTTTTTTTAAACTGTAGGTCAGTTGGACATAGCCAAAGCTTTGCTTTCATTGCCCAGCTGGCTAAAGTTTTTTTTTTTTTTTTTTTGGATGTTACAAACTCAAAAATTATAGGTGGTATACATTATGTTCTTATTTGTCTTTAGTTCAGTACTTCACATTATGCATATGTGTGTTGTACATGTATACAAAATTAAATATGTATATAAAATATAGTAACTAGAAACCAGTTACATATTTGTCATAGTAGTCAGTTGTTATACTCTACTCAACAAAGATGATATTGAGTTCTGTAAGCTTAGATTGTGGTGAATGATGCAATACATTCTTTTTATTGTGCCTGCAGAAGAAACTATGTAAAGAATGTTCAGTGTAATGTATAAAACAGTTGAGTATAAAATTACAGTCTTCCTCTGTGAATAATACAATAGTAACTGTTCAGTGAGTTATTACAGATGACAAGATTTCTGATATGATACCTTACCTCTATATGCATAATTTCTGCTTGCCACTAGCCTTGATGCTTCAACCTAACATCACGTGTCTGCACTGTAACATGCAAATGAGCATGTATCAACACTATCAATAGGAGTGTGGCACACCCTCCTAATGCAGTTGACTTCCTCTGTACTGTATAACCCAATCATCACTTCTATAGTTGGCTCTCGTGCATAAAGACTTCTTTTTTTTTTCACTTGTGAACACTTTAGATACAGGCATTTTTTGTATCTACAAAGACATAACCTGTAGTGGAAAAAATATATTGTTGGATTTTTTTCAACATTTTTTGCACCTGCTGGTTTTGTGGCTTTTTATTTTCACATTATTATTTCATAGGTGTCAATAATCTCCACTTTGCCTTGTGTGGGACAACAAGATATTGCTATTCTAGATTAACAACTAAAATGGCATTAAGTTTGTCTTTATCTATTGGTGGAGTTATGGCTTTTGTGCACTGAGTGGTGGAGTCTTTCATGTGCCCTGGACCTTCTTTTGAATCTGAAACACCTCTGCCTATGTTTCCCATTTGTGATAGAAGGGATTTTACCAGTTTTTTCCCACCACTTACCTTTGACTAATCATATACTCATGCTGTCTTGAATCTACCCAAGCCTTTTTCATACTTTTGGGGCAGGGTTTCTCAGGTGTATTTCTTTCTCTTCTTTACTTTGTAATTCATTCCCCATTTCTTTCTTTACATTTTTTTACTTCCTCTTCAAATATGCAAGTCCATATTCGATTACTCTTAATCCAATTTTGATGCATGCATGCTTTGTTCTACTTCATTTGTTATCGCATATACCTGGGCATAAAATTGGGCTTAGACTCATAAACTCTGGAGTATTTTCTTCAGACTTGCGTGTCAGATCCTCGGTCATTTGTTCGACTTTTTTAGGCATAATTTTTCTCACCTTTATGTTACACTCCCATTTAACATTATTTTTCCTCCATTCACCTACTTTTCATGTTCATCCATCATTCCCCTGAGGATTTTTTGGCAGATACTTTTTCACTTATTTTCTTTAAAGTGGTGTGTTTATCTTTCTAAGCCTTCTCACTTGATATTTGGTTAATCTGTTACTAGAATTTGTGGGGGTGAGATGCCCTTCTTACTCGTATGCTTTTGCCTCCCTTTTGTGATGGATACTTTTGTCTAGCTTCCTTCCTCTGCTAGTGTGATTATACTGGAGTGCTTGTTTCTCTGGAATTGGGACCACATGCCAATGTTTTTCCTTATCCTCACTGGTTTTCTGTCTCTCCTGTGCACCTTCTTTACCCCTTTCTGTCTCCTGTCCTCCTGCTTCATATCCTCTCCCTGTGTCCAGTAGTTTCTTCTCACACCCACTCAGTATTTCATTCATTTAAGGGACATGGAGAGATTAGTTTACTATGCCATATCTTCTCCTTCTCTCACTATGTGGGAGGTTCTCTCTCTTTTGGGAACTTGAGCTTCCATGGAATCCCTTATTCCCTTGAGTTGTGTTCATTTGTGACATCTACAATGGACTCTGTACAATCAATGAAACCTCACTTAGGATCCCTTCAACTTCTCCATTGAACTTCCTTTTTTCCTGCAGGTCAACTTTGCCTGGTGGCTTGACATAATCAACACCTCGGCTGGTGTTTCTCTTCCTCCTCATCTTGATCTTAATCTGTTTACGAATGCATTTCTTACAGGGTGGGGGTATATGTGTATTCTCAGAAGATAGCCAGTCTATGGTCTGTGTCCTTCTAATTGCTCCATTCTGGCTGGTCTAACCGTGATTTTCTCTGTTGAGCCTTTTACAATCATCTTCCGTTCCTCTTTCCTGATCCCTCGTCCTTCAACCTCGTTCCTCCCTCACTCGTCCAGTGATATCCTCATTCTCTCTTCATGCATGGGTTTGGTCTGGTCCCTTGCAAGATGCTATGGATTCTCATCATGTGTTGCCTTCCTTATTTCTCATTCTGTTTGTTCTTCTTCTATACTTGTTTACTAACATAAATGGCAAAGTTTCCATTGTTGGTTTTGGTATCAGAGTTTCTCCCTTTCCAAAACTATTATTCCCCACTTTTCCAGATTTTCCACTTAGCTCTTTGACAATTGTTTGCCCATTTCTACCATTGCTGACTATAAAGATGAACTGTCCAATACTTTTCATTTTATCCCATTTTTATTGTTTCTTCTTCTTCTCTTCTTTCCTTTGTCCTGTTTAGATCCTTTCACCTTCTGTGTCCTACTGGCTTGGAATTTGAATGCTGCCCTACATGCCCTCACACTACCTCCTTTAGAACCTTTAACCTCTTGTTTGTTGTACCATTTTTCCCTTATGACCTAATTTTTACTTCTTTTAGCATACGGATATTGAAGGTCAGATGTGTACACTCTTGATATTTCCTGAATCCTGTGTTATTTTTTATCCTAACTGTACTTTTATCCCTAAGACACCTGCGGAACGAGAAGGAAACACCTTTCTTTCCTTTCCATCCATTGCTCATCTTTATTCTCGGTCCAATCCTGTTCATCTTTTTTGTCCTGAATGGGTTATTCATTGTTATGTGGTCCACACTGCTCCTTTTCATGATTCCCACTCCTGGCTCTTTATCCCATGAAACTCCTCTTCTAGCCAAGATCTCTCTCCTATTAGTCTTACTGGTTGGCTCCATCAACACATTTGGCTGGCTTATACTTTGTTGGATGAAGATTCATGTCTCAAATTCCAAGTTTTCTCTCACCAAATTCATCATCTTTCCCTCTCTCTGGCCGCTCACTTCCATCATATGTTGTAGGAGACTGTGCAGGCTTGCATATGGACTAATCCTCACACTTTCATTGCTCATTAACTTCATCATCTAGCTGTCTCTTTTTCATCTGAATATTGTTTTTCTCCCATTGCCATTCTCCATACCCCTTACTGACACTGAATGGGTTAGTTCTTTTTTCTATATAATTAACTACATTCTACATCTAAGGATCCTGCCATGTGACCATTAGAGTCTGTAATTCTTACTCATGAGATGGGGTGTTTCACAAGACTGCTCACGGTTTACTCACAGTGTATTACTTCATAAATGAAGTCCATTTCAGACCAAACCAACTCGTGGACTATCATGAGTAAAGCAGTGCCAGTTGTAGCTGAATAAACCTGGACTGGCCTGATTTTAAAACTCATGTTTTGTGGTTACCCATTGAACAATCTTAAGGTGCTGCTTTCCTCTGGGCTCCCTAATGCACCCCCCACCCCACCCCTCTGCTAGTGGAGTACAGGAGTCCTTGCCACTCACCAGTTCCTATTTGCTGGGGTGGTGGACCATGGAGGCTTCCTTCTGGGTGTAACCAATTTTACTCAGTAAAGAGTAGAGTGGTGGTGTTCTGTTGGTGAAGACACATGATATTAAGTAGGAGCCTCAAGGCTAGTATCAAGTGAAAATTGTGCATATAGAGAGCAACACAAATCAAGGAAAGCTATTGTGTAAGCAGAGGTAATTATCTATCAGAAATACTATATGTTAACTTTGAATTGTTTTACATCAGTCAAGAAATTTACTTATTTTTATTTTGCCAGCATATAAAAAAACAATCAAAATACCTTCAAGTAATTTTAATATAATTCTGTAAGATTTTGCTTTACAACTGATGCTATCTTTCTGAGCATTGATATAATAAAATTACAGTATTTTCACTTTTATGAATATTTTAAGACAATTCTGAATTTGTGTTTGCATTAGACCTTTAGTTTTCAGTTAATCCTCACCAAATGCATATATTGTAAAAACTAGCTTACAGGTTAATCATAATGCAAGATAAACTCAAACTCTATCAAGCTTTCTCAGCTCACATATTTGTGTTGTTAGTTCTTTTCAGAAGATACACCTCTATAAGAAGCATTCATTATGGCATTAAAAATCTGGTTATGGGTGCTTTGTAATAATTTACAAGATAATCATATGAAAACTTTAACATCTTTTACACTTGTAATAAAGATCTTTTTCTTTTTTTTTGAGAAAGCAAAATCTCATTAAAATTAGACAATTATAAACAAAACATAGGCAATGTTACATACTTCAAATTCATACCTAAGGCCTTACAAAGTGACAAATAGATTAAATGGTGTTTTTGTATTTTTTCTCTCATTCCAGGAAGCTGAAAAACTTGAGCCAAGTGATGACTCTTCAAGTTACTCCTATATTGACTACAGTGAAAAACGTTCCCTTCCAATCTCTGTTCCTGATTATAATTGGGTTGAAAAGGATTCTGATAGATTTGTTGTAGGTGTCTTTTTGTAAAATTCCTCATTGAACTGTTAAAGAAAAAATACTAGGGATTTGTGTCAATTCTATGATCTAATAATGGTTGGAGATGGCTTGAATGGGTAATGAAGAAAAATTTTAATATAAGTTTAGCATAACAGCAAATGTACAATGTTTCGACAAGGTTTTGTTATCATCAGGTACAATGAAACGTTGTACATTTGCTGTTATGTTAAACTTATATTAAAGTTTTTCTTCATTACCCATTCAAGCCGTCTCCAGCCATTATTTGTCTCAAAGTGGGTTCCTCGTCATCGAATTTGAATTCTATGATCTATTAAATATCAAAACCACCTATCAAAATACTACAAAAATGGATCTCAGAGAAGAGATAGAGCTAGTACTGACAACATTGTAGTAAAGGAGTAGAAAACTGCATGTTTCTTACTTACTTAAGAGATTTTTATTGTATTGGAAATAAGTTAACATGCAGGTTAACTATGCTTAGTTTCAGACCAACAAATGTATTTCAAATGTGAGACTTCTTTATGTGGGATATACTTCTTACATAAGCTGAAGCTTGCTTCTGCAAGTGAACTATTTTGATTTAGATCTTCAAGTAGAATTTGGTAACAGCACTGAGATCTTTTTAATTAAGAAGTGTGTATATTCCATTGTGCTTGTTGTTTACTTAACCTGCAATTAATATTCTAATGAAATAATATGTCTGAAGTAGAAATAACATAATACACTTGCTAGGCCCTGAGTGACTTTGTGCTTACAAGATCCTTTTAACACCACAGCTAACAATGTGTGCATTAGTCAACTTGTTAGTTGGAATATTACTCTAATTTTTTAAACTTAAATTGCCCAAAAACTTTTGGGGAACTTTTTAAAACATTTTAATTAGATTTTCTTTGATAAATTCTGAAAAGGTATGTTAGGAATGAACAGTGGAACTATACAGCTAACATAAATCTAATGAGTAGCAGTATACTAATTAGTGCAGATTCAACTTGTTTTCTTTTCTAAAGGTTTCTGTCATCCCTTGCATAGCAGTCTCTATTTTTTCAAAACCTGGTGTTTGTTACTTCAAGCCTTGAATATGAAAAAGTGCAAACAGCTTTAAACTACACTAATTTATAATTACAACTTAGTTATTGTAGATTGTACTTTAACATTATTGATACTTTTTAAAAATTGTTACAAAATGCAGGCAAAATATTTAATTTAGTTTCGATGACGAGGAACCCTCTTTGAGACTAATAATGGCTGGAGACTGCTTGAATGGGTAATGAAGCAAAACTTTAATATAAGTTAACATAACAGCAAGTGTACAACGTTTCGACAAGGTTTTGCGAATATTTATCGGATTATACTCTCCACCTACATCAATGCACCCTCTATTCTGGTACTGTATATAAGCACCTCATTCAAATAATGTTATCGATTTTTCTCGACAAAGCATCACTAACGGGTTTCCCAGTATTACGATCATTTAGAGATATTTTGAACATTATCTGAGTTATATCATTGATTTTCGCATTAATGATAAAAAATATCTGAATGTCAAGACGATTAAGTTATGAATTCCCACAATGATATTTCTGGCATGGAGGCAAATCAGGTCTCTCCTATCCCAATTCTGATATCTAGCATCGCACAACAATCTTGGGGATGGAGACATATATTAACGGATCTGTGGTGTTCTTCCGGGGAGTTCTGAGGCTGCAATTGAGGGCGATCCTTGACATTTTGGAGAGACTTTTAGATTCACTTTTTCCTGTGCCTTCTTTTGGTCTGTTGACTTTTCAGTTCTCCTGTAGGACAGTGGTCTTGCAGCGCTGAGGTCTGGGGTTGAGTTCTCTAGGGTGGACATGGTAGATGGCTCATTGTTGCTTTGCTCTAACAAATTAATCTCCCAACATGCTGCTCAGGTCAACGCTAATCAACACAGTTTTTAAATGACCTATGAAAAACGAAATGGAGGCCACTTTGGAATAAGCTGCCTGTGATATGTTTTCTTCTGTTGGTTCTTCGAGTGGGTGATGTTTTGGGCTTTTTTGCCAGTTGCTTTTGAGCCTGCTTCTTATTTGATGGCTGAAAGGTGTGGAAGCAAATTTTTAGTTTTTCTCTCCATACAAGGATATTGTGGTTCATGCTGAAAGGTTTACTACTTAGTTACATGAAGGGATGGTTATGCCTTATCTGACACGTTGTCTTAACTTCATGATTTTGCCCACGACCGCCAGGTGGAAGCATTTTCCAACTATCAACTAATACATTCTGCTCCTCTAAAATTCAACATTTTGTTGGAAGATTCTCTGGATCACCAACTTCAGTGAGGATCAGCTGGATTCATTGTTAGCAAGCTCAGCTCCAAGAATATGTGGTACCCTTCAACATGGTTCAATTTTTGGCTTCTACGTTTATCCCTGTTGTCATTAGTCTCAAATTTCATCTGCTCCTACAGGTACCCAGAATAAATTCTGTCAATATCCAAGGGTTGCACTGCTCAATCAGACTGCTGCGATGTCAGTGATTATTGTATATCTTCAGGGTCTGGGGGCCTCAGCTCCAAGAATTTTGGGATGTGTGATTTCCTTCAACATGGATCCAGCATCTTTGCAGGTCTTTCAATCAGGATTAGTCATTCAGTTCACATCATCACCATTATTAGTCACCAAACTGTGTTTTTATACCTTTCTGTCATTGGGCCTATGCAGGGAGAAGTTTGGTGTCCAGTCATCAATCTTTCTCATCTCTATCAATGCCTAGATTGTCCAAGGTTCCCAAGTTACTCATTCCCCAATCTGAGTTGATTTATTTTACTAGGTTTGTTGATGTCCATATCTATTGTAGTCAGCTCCTATCTGCACTTTGCTATAATGGTGGAGTTCTACTACTATCTGCATTTGTTGTGCACAAGGGTTAGGAACTGTAGTTCTGGGTTTTTCCTTTCGAACTCCCTTCGGCTTCACATGGTTTCTACTGTATAGTATGAGTTTTTTTCTTGTCACCTCCATTCTCTCATATTGTCCATTCACCATTCCATGGATAACTGGTTACTGGCACCATCTCATCAATTGTCTGCATATCTCATCCTGATTCTTCTTTCAGAAACAACCAAGGCAGGCTTCCTTTTCAGGGCTGAGACATCTATTCTTGCCCCACTTCAATATGTCATTAGTTTGGGTATTTTTAATTTTCATCTTGTCACTCAGTCGGCTCTGCTGTCTCCCATGTGGCTCAATGCTATGGAATAGGACACCACACTCTTACTCACTTCTCCTTCTCCCACTGCACAGATAGTTCTTTCACTTCTAGGAATGTGGACATCACTCGTATTCCTCCTGCCTTTCGGATGAGAGCACAAGAGATCCTTTTAATGGTCTTTATGTGACCAAGAGTTCACACATTCAGGTTTCCTTAATTTTCTTAGTGCGGATCATTCTTCGATCTCAAGGGGTTGTTAAGTCAGGACACTACTACGATATGGGTTTCTTTACCACCACCTTTTTCAGAATTCAGTTTCTTCATAAATGCCTTGGCTTCAGGGATGGGACGCATATACCAACAGTCAGGAATTCCAGGGTTTATGCACACACGACAAGGATACCCTACACTATATTTTAATCCTTCTTGCTCTTCCACAAGCAATGCCTCATTGTCCGAGGAAAATCATCAGGCTTCACTCTTACATGTCCTTTGTGGTGTCTTGTGTTTTTCATTGAGGAGGCATTTGGTCTAGAGCTACTTGTTTTTGACTTTCTTTCTCATGGCCATTTTTATCATATCACCCTACTAGCTTGCCATTTTTTGACAACTGATGCCTGTATAAACAGGTCACTTGACTCAATCCTAACAGATTCTCCCAACAGAATGTAAGCTGCAGTGCAAGGTTCTGTTGGAGTGGCTCTCATTTTGCAGCTGTGACTGATGGGTTGGCCTCTCATTGGATGACCCAACTACTGGCAATTTGGTCTCCAGTCACTCATCTTTGTGCTTTGGCAATAGATGCATTTTGTCAGGACAGAACGGGATTACAACTCTAAGCTTTATTTCCTCCACTTCATATGTTACCCAGGGTGCTAAATGTGATTTGTTCCCACCAATTGTCGGGTTCTGTTCATAGCACCAGATTGGCTGCTACACCTCGTTTCTGCTGCTGCGGTTCCTTCCAACTCTTTCCATTTCTTTTTAGACTCTCTCTGTGGAGGCAGCCATGATCTGATATGGTACATTTGGCTATCAGAAGCTCAAGCTTCAGGAACAGAGGTTCTGCAGCCTTTCGCTTGGCATCAGGGTTTAATTTCTAAGATTAACATGTATCTGTCTCAGTTTTTTTGCTGAGTTCAAAATGAACTTTTATCAACGGAAATGACATGTATCGGCAATGGTGTATTGAGAGGAAATTGAACCCATTTTGATCAGAAGTGCCAACCATAACTCGTTTCTTTTGCCCTGGCTCTTTGGCAGAGGTTTTTGCATCTTTCACAGTCACCTTGTTTAAGGTGGCCTTATCGATTACCATTTGATTATAGTCACTTTGGGTCCTTGGTCCCAAATGACAATTCCTGTTACCTAACAGGTATATTACAATTAAATTACATGATCTTTCTCAACATCTGTTTGTGACCTCACTCTTATATGCCATGTATCATCTTTACCTGAAGGTTTATTTTTCATGGCTGCTGACCTATGAACATCACTGGTCAGAGTGATTTGCACTGTTTGTCCACATGTCACTTTATCCTTCTATCTACATCCACAGGCAGTTCTTCTTACCCAACACATTGCCAGATAGGACAGTAGTTCAATCCTGTTCATCTGATCCCTATTTCCAATCAGATATCAGTCTTGAGCATGTTCAATGAGGATTTTGAAGGTTTTGTTACCTGCACTAATGCCTTTAGAGATGCTAGACAATGACTTTTTATTCTGGGCTTTCTTTGAAGGCAAGGGATCTTCTGTGAGTCACATCTAATTATATTTGTCACATTTTTCTGTCCTTCTCC